TTCTCTCTTACTGGAAGGTAAAATGAATATTGGCAAGTTGATCAAAGTCCTAATCAAGTAAATGAATTTGTTAACCCCAATATTATCTCCTGCTAGCTTAATCAGAAATATTATTTCAGGGGTGCCTGGACGGCTCAGTCAGTTAAGCATCCGACTCAGCTCAGTTCATGATCTTGCAGTTTGTGAGTTCGAGCCTGCAGCAGGCTCCGTGCTGACAGCTCAGAGCCTGGAGCTTTCTTTGGATTCTGTGTCTCCCTCTCACTCTGCCCCTCCCCTACTCATGGTCTGTCTCTCTCCCTCTCTCTCTCTCTCTCTCTCAAAAATAAATAAACATTAAAAAGTTAAAAAAAAAAAAGGAAAGAAATATTATTTCAAACAAACAAAAAGGATACTTACAAGGTGAAAATAGTTAAGACATTGACCTTAGATGCACAGGACTCTGTTAAAACATACATCAACTGCACATTTCTTGCCCTCTTGTCATCCAGTCTTCAGTAACTTAATGTTCCCAATCTTCCTTTACCCAGTCCTCCCACACTGTTCTTCCAGTTCCTAATTCTCAATTCCCCAGAGCACAGGGAGTAGCTTGGGTATCACTGCGGAGCCCATAGAACTTGGCCCACTTAGCAATCAAAAAGAATGAAATCTTGCCATTTGCAACTACGTGGATGGAACTAAAAGATATTATGCTAAGCAAAATTAGTCAGTCAGAGAAAGACAAATATCATATGACTTCACTCATACGAGGACTTTAAGATACAAAACAGATGAACATAAGGGAAGGGAAGCAAAAACAATTTAAAAACAGGGAGGCGGACAAAACATAAGAGACTCTTAAATATGGAGAACAAACAGGGCTACTGGAGGGGTTGCGGGAGGGGGGATGGGATAAATCGGTAAGGGGCATTAAGGAATCTACTCCCGAAATCACTGTTGCACTATACGCTAACTAACTTGGATGAAAATGTAAAAAAAAAAATTAATTAAATTAAAAAAAAAAAAAGAACTTGGCCCACTTAGATTGTGGGGTGCTCAAAAAAACAAAAACAAAAACAAAAACCAACAACAAAAAAGCATTGAATGCATCCATTTCTACCTCAGAATAAGTGTGCATATTTCTTTTTCATTTCTTAAAATATTTTACTCTAAAAAGAATTTGAAAACCATTTGAGAAAGGTGGATATTCTCCAACTCCCTGAGAAGTTATTCATACAAGGACTGTCAAACTTCAGTTTATTTATTCATTTTGAGAGAGAGAGAGAGACTGCAAGCACAAGAGCAAGAGCAGGAGCAGGGGAGGGGCAGAGAGAGGGAGAGAGAGAACCCCAAGAAGGCCCCAAGCCTGACAGCACAGAGCCTGACGTGGGTCTCGAAATCATGAACCCTGAGATCATGACCTGAGCTGAAACCAAGAGTCGGACGCTTAACCAACTGAGCCACCCAGGTGCCCCATATCAAACTTATGTATTAATCGGATCTCTCTGTTTACTAGTTTTAGAAATAAGACAACAGGCCCAAAGTGGAGTCATTTATGCTAAGCCCCACATCACCAAACCAAGACTTAACTTAATTACAGTTTTATCTATTCCAGAAATAAACTCTTAAACCAGCCAATCAGGAATCACTAGTCAATCAAAACTAGTGATCAGCACTAGTTAGGAATTCTGCCTGATAGATCCCTACCATCCCCTAAAGGAAAGTAACCTTACAATAATCAATCTGCTTTTTTGCCTGACTTCTTTCTTCCCGCTCCCTACTGCTTATTTTGCACAAAATGTGCTCATTTTGCACAACTCCTTGGAGCTCCTTTCTATCTGCTAGATTGGATGCTACCCCATTCATGAATCGGTGAATGAAGCCGATAAGATCTTTAAAATTTACTGTTAAATTTTGTTTTTTAACACTAGTTCACTGAAAATCTCTAACCTCCTTATTTCCTCTTATAAGTGGTAGAGGGAGAAATTACCCCTGTGGTTTTTTTAGTGTTGGGTCATAATAGGTCATTTGTACCTTTAAAAATACAATGGATGGGGCACCTGGCTGGCTCAATCGGTGGGGCATTAGACTCTTGATCTTGGGATGGTGAGTTTGAGCCCCACATCAGGTGTGGAGCCTAATTAAAAATCATAATAAAATAAAAACAAATAAAAATACAATGGATAGACATTTGTATTTTGTTATTAAGTAATACCATGAACTTAAAGTTCCCTTCATTTAACAAGGAACTATAAAGCACATAATGTAAAACATTTGAGTTCACTTTTGTAAAATGGGTTTGCTTGTTTTTTTGTTGTTGTCTTTATGAGGAATAAACATTTTATTTTAAAACACTGTGTTATTCAACTAATGACTGATTTCATTTTTTCCATAATACATATTGAGTGCCTGTTGTGTGCCAGATTCAGGCTAGGTGTTGGAGGCATAGTCCACCAACCCCCTCCCTCATCCACCAAACCCCTCCCTTCCACTTATAGAGTTTGCAATCTAAAAGAAAAATTTGCAAATCTTGAAAGTCTATATGTTCCAGGTATTAAAGTAAAAAAATTAGCACATTGCATTCTAAGGGTAATATCACTTTAGAATATTATTTCTAGGGGCGCCTGTGTGGCTCAGTCGGTTAAGCATCTGACTTCGGCTCAAGTCATGATCTCACGGTCCATGGGCTCCAGCCTCGCATCGGGTTCTGTGCTGACAGCTCAGAGCCTGGAGCCTGCTTCAGATTCTGTGTCTCCCTCTCTCTGCCCCTCCCCAACTTGTGCTCTCTCTCTTATTCTCAAAAATAAATAAACATGAAAAAAATTTTTTTTAAGAATTTTATTTCTAAACTTGAAACAAGACAACAAAAACGTTAACATTAGCTTTCATATAATCTTGAAGAAACAATGTAACAAATTCTGAGGAACAGTCTCTAAAAGCAGAATAACAAAAGGTTCTTATTAAACAGGCAACAGGAGACACAAATATTCAGATTAGCTTTATCTGTGCCTGGGATATCATGGCTTTGGTTATTGGAGATTTTGGTTATTTGAGGTACCTGGACTTTAGTTATTGGAAATAACCGAAAAGGAGTCATCACATTTCAAATGTTCCTTCATTTTCAGATAATAGTAACTAAGAAACTAATCTTCAAACTTTCTAAGTCTACACGCTGAGTCCTATTAGACCTTACTACATAAAATGTTTTCTAGGATTTCATTTTAGGGTTTTGACAGCAAATTTATACAAACCTTTCCTCTTATATTAGCTGAAGGTAAGAAATGTTTCCTGTTTGAAGATTTACTATGGATCAACCCATACACTCTGCATTTGAAGATCCAAGTGTCCCTATTAGTCACTTAACTTTCATCTTTTTTCAATTTGATTCTTAAATATCATTATAAAACTATCCTGGCCCTACACTGAGAATTTTAGCCTATTTTCTAGGTTTCTTTGTCATAAAACAAACAAACAAACAAACAAGCATCCCATGATGATATTAGTAGGCTAGATTATTTTAACAGTATCTTTACTGTCAGAAGACAAGGCCTTATATCACTCTAAGAGTTACATCATTTCCAAAGAGCAGAAGCATATTGAAAAGGGCCCCAAGAACATTTTTTAAATCCCTTTATTGATACTAAATGAATCCTAATATTTAACGTAAATAAAACGTGCTTAACATATTTAGATAGAAGGTGCTTAAGAACGCCTTATGGGAATGTTCCTTATGGGAACATCAGCTGAAATAAAAACCTGGTCACAAACTATTCGTGTCAACTGGCTAAAGCAGGGGAAATGGGGTATTCCTTTTTCCTTAGGCCTTCTGCGGTTTCAAAATGGAAACGTCTGTCAGAGGCCACTTTCGCACCCTGGGAGGAAGACCTGCGTGTCTG